TCACTATTTCTTTTTTGTATTCTAGAGTATTCTTCTTTATCTTTCTTTTTCTTCCTTCTTTCATCCATCAACTGCAGAATTTCGGTTGACATCCATTTCTTTTTTGCAACTCTATGGGTTGGTGGGATTGTCTCTTTAGATGTCTGCTGAACTGACTCACGCAACATATCCCACTGTTCATCAATAGTCTGTATAATTTCCATTGCATTATACCGGTTTTGTACAGTGACATTGTACTGGTCCTAAATTTCTTTATCCTTTCTAAGAATTCCTAAATTTAACTTGATGTTCTATGGTGTTTTTCTAATGTTCTTTAGTTTTATTCTAATTTTTCCTACAACTGGAACATGGTCACTAAAGCAGTCTGCCCCTGGTCTCGTTTTTGCTCCCACTAAGCTGCTCCTGAATCTTCTTGAAATCAAAATATAATCAATCTGATTGCGGACATTATCACCAGGACTTTTCCAAGTCCACAGTCTTCGAGGATGGTATTTAAACCAGGTGTTACATATTATCATGCTGCGGGAGTCGGCCCATGCTATTAATCTGTTACCTCTCACATTCTTTTCCCCTAGGCCATAGCCACCCGTTATTCCGTACACTTTTTCACTTCCTATTTTCGCGTTGAAATCTCCAAGTACCATTGTTACTTCACAATTTTTGCATTGATCAACAGCCATGTCTAACTCATCATAAAATGCGTCAATATCTTCCTCTGAACTATCTGCTGTTGGGGCATAAATCTGTACTATGTTGATGTCAAACGGTCTGCCACGAAGTTTTACTAATAGTACTCTATCTGATATTATCCAAAATCCTTTCACAGTTTTTGAGTTCTTTTGATCCAAAATAATACCAACTCCTTTACTATATTCCTTCCCACCCGAGTAAATAATTATGTACTGATCTGAATACTTTTCACCTGCTCCTGGCCATCGCATTTCACTAATTCCTAATATGTTGATGTTCATTCTTTTCATTTCCATCTTGATGTTTTCCAACCTTCCGTTTTGTACGAGTGTTCTAACATTCCAGGTACCAATGTTCATGATGTTTCTACTTTTTCTACAGTAGCTGGATGACGGTCGGGTAGAACATGGTGCTACCTACACGACGAGGTGATTCCACTGGAATCCCCATTCACGTCATTATCTGAATGAGTATTATTTTGAGGCATGATTCATGATATCATGATTCCATGATAGACACAGTAAATCTGATAGAAATGTGGCTTTTCTGCCAACCCCCGGACCACACGGAATTCCTCACCCGGTCTCCTCGAAGTCAGGTTTAACCGACTATGCTAGCGAGTTGGGCAAAATCACCAGCCGTACCGAAGATTCCAACCCGGGTCTCCCGCACTGGAACCCAGCGTTCTAACCGTTCGGCCAGCCGCTTGTCCTGCGGATATAAAAAAACGCATGAGTGGGTTCCCGAAAATCATTTGGGCAGTACAGATATAGACTCACTAACAACTTCTAATAAGTGTATCATTAAAGCTGAATAATGACAGGTTTGCTAAAAGCAGACGTGTGGGCCGAATGGTGTCGATGTTAGGGTCTTGCTGTAAATCACAAAATAACCTGCCAACCGACATTTTGAGGACGAAGACTGTGCAATAATAATAATAATAATAACAATTATAATAAAAATAATTAAGAAGAAGAAGAAGAAGAAGAAGTAGTAGTAGTAGTAGTAGTAGTAGTAGTAGTAGTAGTAGTAGTAGTAGTAGTAGTAGTAGTAGTAGTAGTAGTAGTAGCAGTAGCAGTAGTAGTAGTAGTAGTAGTAGTAGAAGTAGTAGTAGTAGTAGAAGAAGAAGAAGAAGAAGAAGAAGAAGAAGAAGAAGAAGAAGAAGAAGAAGAAGAAGAAGAAGAAGAAGAAGAAGAAGAAGAAGAAGAAGAAGAAAGAAGAAGAAGAAGAAGAAGAAGAAGAAGAAGAAGAAGAAGAAGAAGAAGAAGAAGAAGAAGAAGAAGAGAAGAAGAAGAAGAAGAAGAAGAAGAAGAGAAGAAGAAGAAGAAGAAGAAGAAGAAGAAGAAGAAGAAGAAGAAGAAGAAGAAGAAGAAGAAGAAGAGGAAGAAAAAGAAAAAGAAAAAAATAGGAGGAAAGGGGGGGGGGGGGGGGGGGGAGGGGGGAGAAAAGAAAAGAAGAACCAAAGTGTTTCAAATGTACCTCGCTCCAGCTAATATTTGTTTCACATGGGACCACAAATAAGCTGATATTATTTATGATATTATTAAAACACTCTAAAAACGAAATTATGCACATTTGTAATTATTGTTGTTCATCATGTAGCAGGTCCTTTGTAGAACGTCGCTCTCATCACGGTCTGCCTGAAATAAACTCGGTCTTTCGCCAGCTGTCCCGCCTCATGTACTTTCATACTCAAGGAGTCACTTATATCCTGTGCCCATCTTCGTGTTGATCGGCCCCTGCCCCTCCTTTCTGGTACCATGCCTTCTGCTATAATTTTTTTCCAATCCGTCGTGGCGCTTGATATGACCAAAATATTTCAGCTTCCGAGACAGGATGCTGTTTATTAGCCAATCTTCCTTGATGTTCAGATCTTTTAAGATGTCAGTATTTTTCCTCTTATTTGTCCACGATTTTCTGAGAACCTTTAAATAGCATTTCATCTCAAAAGTCCCTATTCTCTTTCTTAAAGACTGAGAGATAGTCCACGACTCACATCCGTATGTAGCCACAGGGAAGATGCATGCTCTCAAAATTCTAATTTTGATCTTCTTGCTGGTGCTTAACTATAGACTTTTAAGTCTGTTCAATCTTATAATATAACTACTTGAGGATAATTAACAATAAGTGACATTAATGTTATTTATGTAATTTTGCTATTTTATTCAAGTTACAAAATACATTTCTAGGCCAATATTTATTTTAATCAAAACATTAAACACGTGATAAATGTCATGTGATTCGAAGACGTTGAAGAGTTCCTGGTGGAGTGGCACAACAAACAGTCCATCTTTGTTCATTGTTTGTATGTTTGATCAGTCAGTTTTTTTTTTTTTTTAAACTTTCGAATTAAAAAAAAAAAAAAAAAAAATGCTCAAAATAAAATTAATGTGATTATCTATGAGCCGGACGGGTTGCTATGAAAATGATTATTAGATTAACTAAATTACTAGTGTAGTTATTTGACTGACAAATGGTAATCAATTATTACCATTTGTCAGTCAAATAACTAGTAATTAATTTAATTTATTTACCTTAATGTAAGTAATAATAGTATTTAGTAATAAATATGCCTGCCTAATTATAATACATAGGGTCAGAGAAAGACTCAAATTACTAATTAAATTTTAATTACTGACACATCTGCGTAATAGAACTATTAGTATTATCTTATCTTCTTATAGTATGATACACTGTTTGTATAGCTGTGATGTCATAGTTAAACTATCCTTGTAACAACTAACTATTAGTAATTGTTGTTACAAGGATTCGCCCCCTTGCAGGTTAGGTTCGTTTTTAATTGTCAGCAGAGGCGAAATTCTTCAGATTTTTTCATACTCACATACAGTATGTGACATACCGTTTAAACACAGCCGTGTGATCATGGCAGTAAATTAAACAAAGAAACTGAAACGTCTACACTTGTCCCTATTCTGCATTGATTGAATCTGTAAAGTAAACCGTAAACGCTGTTAAAGTTAGTTGCAATTCTTTACAGGACGTTGCAGAACCAACCCCAGCTATTTTTGTTTACTGTTGTGGTTTTTCTAGGCAAATTAACGTCCAGTGGTTTACCATTGCTTTTAGGCAGTCAGCTCTTGATACCACTGTCGAAACCAACACAAGTTGTAAGATCCGCAGCTGGGATCGAACCTGGCACTTAACTATTACAAATTGAGGCTCTCCTTTAAATAATGGTCGTTAGCTGGACGGTGACGGTCGGTTAGTCAGAGTTCACTCCTTTGGCTGCATTGCAAATACGGAGTGGACAAGTCACGAAGCAAAAACAAGGTCAATACAGCAGTTAGATATCGAGCTCCGACTCACATTAGCAACCATGTTCTTGCGACGCACGACTTAGTTGCCACGGACGTGACTCCTGCAGATCTGTATGCCTTAATGACCGATAAGTTTGCGTGGTTAATGGTAGGGTTAGGCTTAGGGGTAGGGTTTGGGTTAGGGTTAGATATGACAACGGCTTTCCAGCTAGCGACCGTTATTTAAAGGAGAACCCCTAACCGTAACCCTACCCCTAACCCACACCCTACCCTACACCCTACGCAACCGTATGATGACAGGCAGGTATGCCATTTGTTTCGTTCCCTGCGTACGCTCCGTATTTGCAATGCAGCCAAGGGAGCGCACTCCGACTAAGCGACCGTCGGCTTTCCAGCTAGCGACCGTTATTTAAAGGAGAGCCCAAATTGATTCACAGCGCCTAAACCACAGATGCTGACTAAGAGAGTAAGTTACATGGAGGAAAGGATTCAAGTTCAAACCTCAGTAATAGATTAACGCATCCACTTCAGTCAACCCCGTTGTGGTGATGGCACCCAGTTTAATTAAATTTAATTACCCAAATCTATCAGCAGTTTATTCACATCAAGACATCTATCTTTTAGGTGGATTAGGGTATACAGGTGTTGTCAGTAATGAAAGACCAGATATACTTGCTGGGTATGAGATATTTGCACACACAAAAACAGTCTTTGGACGGGAAACATTTTTAATGCCCTTAGAGAGAGTGATCAGATGATTTCAAGGGCACCATGCAAAAATCGCTGCCAAGAATGCAGGAATTGGGAATGAAGATCAACACAAGCTGGGACAAGAGGTACACAAGAAGTCTTGTCAACTAGCTCAGGACAGGCACTATTAACCACAAAACTCGGATGTGTATATTGAAAGCGGGGGGGGGGGGATGAGCACTTGTGGATGTGTCCACAGTGTTGTGAAGAAGATAACCCAACTTATAACATATGTTCATTTCTCGTGTCCAGAGTTAATCTTACGAACCCTGTAGCCCCAGGATGCCCAGTGCAGACGAGACAAGAGATCTCTTAGCCTCGGTATACAGTATCAGTGGAACAGGGGAGATCACCACAGATGAATATTATAGACCTGTTCATGCTGTGTACAGTCCTGCAGTACAAGCAGGTAGACATTTTGACTAACTTGTCATTTTATAAATCTTTTCATCATTTCTTTAGCTCCACTTGTGGATTCCAGAGTTCCATTTTGGAGCACAAAGACCACTGTCCTACATCCCCCCTTCCCCACCAACAAGCCTGTCAAAAGAGGTAACTGATTAGTGGTGTTTCCTTCAAAATTGGAATGCATTGCCTTAAAGGCAAGGAACCAACAGTCTGCCTACAGATAAGCCATATCTGTAAAATGGATGTTCACACAAAACTCAATTTCTGGATCAAGAACAATGTCTAGGAGTGGACTCAACCATAACTTTCCATTGGAGTTTACAGCTCATAAGCATGAAGAAGAAGAATTAGAAGAAGTTTATATAGCAGAGTACCAGCCTAATTCTTGTATACTGCAGGTTTGATTAGCGAATCAATAAAGTGCCTGTTTGGGTCCCCTGGTCCCATTTTGTAAGAGGAAAACAGAATACACCTACAGCTCCTTAACAAGCATATAGTAAAAGTCAAGTAGTTAATGACTTGCTTAAAATCGGATATTTTGGGTAGAAACGGAAAATTGGAAAGTAGGTAGAAAGGTAGCATTGGGCTAATGACTTGCTTAAAATCATTGGGCTGAGGATATTTTGGGTAGAAACGGAAAAGGGGAAAACTGGATGTGTGGGCTGAGAGGGGTAGAAAGGGGAAACTGGATGCATTGGGCTGAGAGGGGAAACTGGATGCATTGGGCTGAGAGGGGAAACTAGCCTCATAGTTTACTTCCATTCAACTTTTTTTCTGTACATTGTGTTTGTCTTTCTGTTATCTAACCTTCTTTCTGAATACCCCAACCAACTGAGTCCATTTTTTGGTGGTGATTGAAGCAGATTATGAATTCTTTTGTTGCATCTCATTCTCCATTCTAAGCTGTTTGCATGTTCTGTAAATATTGAGTCATTAAACAATTTTAATTTAACAGTAGTTGAAACAATTCTTCTTGCAGGATCCAGAAAACTACATCTACTTCATCTCAGTAATGCCTCACAGAAAAAACATTAAAACAAAAAATGAAAGTAGAAGGTATGATTCTCTACAAGTGTTGCCTCTTCTTCTCAGAAACACTACAGAAACATTAACATAGCAAAAGACAGCATAAACAGTAGGACAAAAGAAGAAAAAGAAAAATTGCTTCTTCTTCCATGAATCATACCCTCCATTTCAGTTCTGTCTAACTTGTTTAGATAACTCAACACTTTCTTGGGAGTGAATGAGTTAATAATATTTCATCTATTTTCCACAGCTGCAGATGAGACGAGTAATATTAAAGTAAGTTTTTTCTTTGAAATTATATATTGTGAACAGTGTTACTTTTGTACTTCTTGCTGCTATTTTTGTTCCACTGGTTTGGTTGATTCGGTTCATCTTCTAAAAACTAATTTTTTTTTTTCAAAGCCGATCGAGATTGAGAAAAAAGCATATCTTTTGGAAAAATTTTTTTTTTTCTTTTTCTTCTTTGGCTGTAAACTCCAGTGGAAAGTTCTGGTTGTTCATCCACTTCTGGACTTGAGTCTAATTTCAGAACTTGAGTTTTGCATGCACATCCAGTTTACAGATCTGGCTTATTTGTAAGCAGACTGTAGATTCCTTGCCTCTCAAGCAGATGCTCTCCAACTTTGAAGGAAACACTCCTAATTAGTTGAAATTTAGGACATGCTCGTTAGAGGAGCTGTGGGTCTTTCCACCCCAAATGGGACCCCTTAGCCCACACTAGGAGTTTTTGTTTGTTTGTTTGTTAATAGTTGTCTTGAAGGCGTGGTACCAGGAAGGAGGGCAAGGGTGATATTTGTTGACAATTTAAGCGTACATTCTGAGATATGTTTTCTAGCATATGACGCCAACACTAATAATCTTTAAACATACCAATCATCTTTCAGCGTATGAATATGAGGCTATTTACTATAATTTTGCTTGGACACCATTTTGAACTATGATGCACAACATAACAGAGATATTAACAGTTTTGAATTTTTACTGTTGTAATGCTGTTTTTATATCTTATTGGCACCCAACTCTCTAGCGTAGTTGGCTAAACCGGATTGCGCGGTGACCTGGTGACGAACTCCTTGTGGTCCGGGTTCATTCCCGGGGGTAGGCAGAAAAGCCACATTTCTCCCAGATTTACGGTATTTACAATGGAATCAAGGCCGAAAGAATGCGATATCCATAATACCGAGCCTAAGGGTTAACAACTCATGGCTTCTGGATACTAAAACAATTATTTGCATTTAAAAAACAAAATTGTGTGTCTTAATTGAAGCACTGTTATTATTTTTCTAATTGTAGCACCATTTCTGTATCTTAACTGTGGCACTGTTTCTTTCTGCCAGGTTTACAAAAGAAGATGGTATATTTTATTTATATTTGGCATGTATGCCTTCAGCCAGAATTTGGTGTGGAACACATGGGGACCTATAACACTTTCAAGTGAGCATGCGTTTGGCTGGAGCAATACCACAATTGCCTGGCTGACCAACTGGGGGCCTGTATCATATATACTTACTGGCTTGTTTTTTCCTTGGCTGTTGCAAGTGAAAGGTATCAACTGCAAATTAAATTGTGTTTTCTAACTCATTAAATACCAGAAGAATTACACCACTTATCCCCTCCCCCCTCCACATGATTCTTGATTTGTGTTTGAGTACTAGTGACTCATACACTCATGCATCTGTTAACTGACAATATGCTTGTCTGGTTCAGTAGGGCAGACAGACAAATGACGTTTTTAGTCATGGCAAGTTATTTGTTTCTGACTATGGTTAGCCAGTTTTTTTCCCATCTGTAAGTAAAAAGTAACTAAAGGACCCTTTTCCACACCTTAAGGCATATAGGGCTAGACCTATATTTTTTAGACCAATCGGCACAAGATGGGTGATGTGGTCAGCATCACGCTGGCGGCCTTTACTTCCCGGTAAATGCACCCGGTACCCACTCAAGACTGGGTCGACCTGGGAGCTAAGGTCATTTTTGAAAAAAGTCCGGCTCTGCCAGGGAGCAAGCCCATGACCTTCCGATCCGTGGTGAGTGTCTAGCCGCTCTGCTACAGCGACTCCCTTTCCCCATGTGTGGACTGAAAATATAAAGTTTATCACACAGCTACTAAGCTGAGTGCGTGGCGCAGCACTGTGAATTAAACAAAATTTTTAGAGGTCTTTTTTACAATGCCCACAATGGTTTGTGTTGTAAACTGCGGATATATAGCGAGTGGCCTTTTGCCACAGGACTGATGTGCCTTATGCAGTGGAACCTTTTGCCCTGAGAAGCCACGCTTCCAGTTTGTACCATGCTCCCATTAGAGCTGCTTTCCCAGCTCAGTATAGTGACTTGTTTAGGAAAAGGCTGGCTAGCAGAACTGATTCTGTTTTCATCTGTGCAAACATTTAGCATCTGTACAAACATTTAGCATCTGTGCAAACATTTAGCATCTGTGCAAATGTTTAGCATCTGTGCAAACATTTAGCATCTGTGCAATGATTTAGCATCTATGCAAACATTTAGCATGACTGAGAATGATTTAATTTACTAAAAAAAAAAATGGCTGGGAGTGGGTCCTTGTGAAAAGAATGGCTTTATTTATGAAATTCAATTGTCATTTTTTCCCATTGGCAACAGTGCTGGCCAGTTCACAGGGTCATTCAAGTAATTGTCACTATATAATTAATGTACAGGCTCAGAGAGATGTAAGCCAGTTGATTCTATGCATTCTATGCAAATTCTTGGCATATCATACAGGGACCACATTACAAACGAAGAGGTTCGCCATAAAACTATACAGCACATTGGCAACTACAAACCTATTTTAACTACAGTGAAAAGGCAAAAAATGCAATGGTATGGACATGTAATAAGAACTTACGGCCTCTCAAAAACAATACTGCAGGGCTCAGTAGAGGGAAAGAGAAGAAAAGGCAGACTAAGAAACAGTTACAAAACCTGATTGACGAAACATGCCTCAGGCATGCAACCATGAAGTCCATCACAACTGACCGCCAAAGGTGGAGAGAGCTGATCAGACAGTCAACAGAAATAGGTGACCCAATGACACGTAGTGTTACGGGATGTTGATGATAAACAAATTTATTGATCAGCATTCCTATAAGGAAGTAGAAAGACAGGAGGACACTCAGGACAGTGTAAAAATCAAAAGCTATAATTACCCGACTTTAACCTGTGACCCCTAAATGATAACAGCACAAACTGTGGGATCAAGTGAACTTTGACCTATAACCAGCTCAGCACCTCCATGTTGGTCACGAGTCAAGAGTAAACTTGTTTTCTGTAACATTTTTACGAACTGTTTACTACAATAAAATGAACTATTTTTTATATTATTTTTATAAAATATTTTCTAGAATGCCATCATGAACTATTGCCTTTATTCAAGTGGTCTGGGTATGTGAGTTGTGATGGCTAGTCTGGTACTGGACAGAAGCACTTACTACAAAGACGAATATGTAAAGGACCTGATTCGGTATCCCTGTGTATGTTGATGGATATTGGAGTCCAGCAGAAAGCTGCAACAAATGAACATTTCACTAAGGGGGCAAGACGTTTGAATAACCAACACAGAACAGGCGTTATCAGTCATTTTACACATTTGGAGTTTTTAAGGAGGTGATGGAACATCTATGAATCTGCCCAGAGTGCTGTGGTGACACACCTTACTACTCACTTGTCTCAAAAAACGCCAGAGGTGTCGTTTATTCTGCCAGAATTTCCAGCCATAACATCAATCTTTTACTTGTTATATTTGGTCACCGCCTACTAAAAAAATCTGGCTTTTCCTTTAGTCACTTCATTGGTTTTTTTTTGGCTTTACTAAGCAAATCTGACTTTTTCTTCGCTCACTTCATTGTTGTTTTGGCTTTATTAAGAAAATCTGGCTTTTCCTTCTGTCACTTCATTGTTGTTTTGGCTTTACTAAGAAAATCTGGCTTTTCCTTTGGTAACTTCATTGTTGTTTTGGCTTCTTTAGAGGCAAACACACCAGATTTGTCATAGTAATAACCTCCTTCTCTTCTTCCTTTAGGATCTTCTAACAAACTTCCAGGTTTTGAAAGGGTAAAGGCTGGTCCAAGCACAGTTTAATCATCCAAGTCCATAGAAGCGGAGTTTAAATAAAAACCATGGATAGAGGTCTCTCAACAAACATTACAATTTTAATTGAGTCTTTTTGGGCACTATTGAGAGAATTGTGTCTGTTGTTCACTTGCATGTCTGTCTGCAGGTTTGAGATGGGCGATACTTAGCAGCATGTTCTTGGTTGCTGTTGGGGCCGGTCTCAGGGTGATAACTTCAGAACCGCTCATAGCTACAATGTAAGTATTCAATCAGGAGATCTTTAGCTAAGTGGTTAAGCTTTTTACTTTGCATTCTGAAAATTGTGAGTTCATTTTGCAGTCTGTATTGTTCGATAAGCAAAGGTGAAACCCCACTAAATCCGTATATGGTACACCCAGTGAACCATATGGTCACTATTCTATGAGAATTTCCCCAGGTGAAATCCCAGAAACCCTGTTTGTTCAATTATGAGTTTAAAGTGGGACCTCTGATGATTGTGAAGGGAACCAGAAGTCCGAACAGGGTAGGTGACTGTAGTGTTGTTCAATTTCTGAGTGCAGTTTTTATAGATCCCTGTGGATTGCCACTGCCGCTCCAGAGATGGTGCTTTGTGTGAGACTATCAGTAGGTGACAAAAATTTTTTTTCAAATATTGAGACAAATGGAATAAACCCCTTTGCAATGAAGTTAATCCACTTAACTTTAAACCTTTATTGTGAAGGAAACTTGAACTCTAAACAAAAAAAGATTCAAAGAACTTTTGAGATAGGGTAAACTGTCAAATATTGTTTGGAAAACTGAGTTAAAACTGGCAAACCTGAGGGGAATAGGTAGTCAAAAATTCCAGCATAACAGAAAATGGGTCACCCCTAGTTGCTCCGTTCCTGTGCCAATGAATAACCACAGAATGTCTGTCAAGGTTCCCTGTAAAATATGTAACCTAGACTGTAGTCTCCGCAAAGCCAATAGCATGCACATGCATTAAATGCATAAGGCAGTGTCAGAAGTGGTAACACAAGCAGTCGAACATTAGAACTGCAGTTTTTCCTTGTTGGAAGCAGCAATAACTGCATATCAGTAATTGCAATTAATTGCACTAGGCACAACCAGTTTTGTATCAATAGGCCACTAGCTGATTTCTTAATCTGTAGTTCACAACACAGACTATGCTGGGCACAGTTAAAAACACTTCAAACTAAATCCACTGCTCACAGTGTCGCACCATGCACTAATCTCAGTATCTTGATGACAAAACTATATACTTTCTGTCCGTATGTGGAGGGGAAATACAGTGGCTTATTACAGCTAGAAGCATATAACTTGCCATGACTCAGAACGGTCAGCTTATCTGTCCACCATATTGGGCCTTGAAGTTTCACTTGAAGGAAAAGGAAAACAAAAAAATTAAGAAAAGAGATAATACCCAGGTTTCTTGGTCATAGAGCATAAATGAGACAAGAAATGAGCACTAATACTATTCATCATTGTCTTCTATATGTACCCTGATAGCAGCATAGGTTTTCATGTCTATCCATATATCTCGGTCTTTAGAATGTGGAATCAGTTCCATGGATGACATTCCTCTATACCATTGTTTCAGGCCATCAAGCATTATCTCTCTTGGTCCGCCTCTTCTACCATTGATCCAGTCATCATGTTCTCAAATGCCTGTCTTTTCATAACCTGACTAAAGAACACTGACTGCCTAGTGTTTATAGTTTTCTACAGTTTTCTAACTTATACTATTTTTTTCCAAAGAAGAAATCAGATACAAAGGTTCAAAACAGACATGGAGTTAAAAAAGAGCTCCTGAAAGAAATAAAAAGAGACAAGTTAAACATTTTGGCCATATTAAAAGACATAACACTTTTAAATACTACACTAGACAGAAAAGTTTATAGCAAGCAACCAAAAGGCAGACAATGATGGAAGAAGGATGATAACATAAAGAGCTGGATAAACAGCAGTTTTTGAAAGAGTGTGCATCTGGATGAGATACAGAGTGTGTTAGAGATCTAATGTAGCCAAACAGCATTATTCGGACCGCATCTGATTGATTGATAGATTAACTTTTAACTGATTCAGCCAGACCACAACTTATTTTTTTTGTTTCTTGTACAGACTCATACATTTTGGCCAGTTCCTGAATGGTGTGGCAGGACCAGTTGCAATGAGTGCTTTTCCTACGCTCTCAGCAACCTGGTTCCCACCTCAGGAAAGAGTGACAGCCACAGCAATCGGCACAAGTATAAGCATCATGGGCGCTGCTCTAGCATTCATTCTGGGTAATGATTCTTTAATTAAAATCAGTAATGCCTACCTCTTATCTTGTCTTCATTCCTTAACTGTTATTTGGTCCTTTCTGTAGCAACCTGTTCTCCTAAAAATGTAGTTAAATGTCACTGGTAGGTAGATTTTAATATATTAACTAAACATATCATTTAGAGGCTTTCCTTGTAAATCCAATTGCTTTATTAAGGCCAGGTTGATTTACAATTTTTTGGTTAGTGATAGAGGTCACAGGTTCATGACCTGAGTCACTACAAATCATATTTGTTTTATGGCTTACAGAAGGCATTCCATTTAATGCTTCACACTTTCTTGTTTATGGATTAATCTCTTTATGTATCTTTATATTTCAAAATATAAGTCTAAAAAATTGTAGATACATTTTTTTACAATTTAGTATTTACCTGTATAAAATGGTTGCTTTTAAAGTATTTTTTTGTGAAATCCCACGGTGTCATGACCTGTTGTTCAAGCATTTGCGGCACAAAAAGGTTTATTGTCAGTTATCAGTCATACAGTTTATTAAAGAGCAGCAGATGAGAGGGTTTAGCCACGTGAAGAGAAAGAATGCTCTGGTATCAACTGCCATGTTGAAATATGAGCATGCAGCGAATGATGACTGATAAGCTGCAATAGGATGACTGATAAGCTGCAATAGGATGACTGATAAGCTGCAATAGGATGACTGATAAGCTGCAATAGGATGACTGATAAGCTGCAATAGGATGACTGATAAGCTGCAATAGGATGATTGATAAGCTGCAATAGGATGACTGATAAGCTGCAATAGGATGACTGATAAGCTGCAATAGGATGACTGATAAGCTGCAATAGGATGACTGATAAGCTGCAATAGGATGACTGATAAGCTGCAATAGAAGGATTGATAAGCTGCAATAGGAGGATTGATAAGCTGCAATAGGATGACTGATAAGCTAATGTCAGTGTGTTGGGAAATGAACAGGCAAAAAAGACTGGCTGGCTCTGCACCACTTGGTGGGGAATTGTGTAGAGGCCCAAACAGATTATCATGGTGTGAGGAATATGGTGCTGCAAGGAGTTACTAGGGGATCTAGCTGATTCTCAACGCTCAAGGGAAAGGCAAGACAGATAAACCATTAGACTGTAACTCGTGCCGTCAGACTTGGAATTCTGTGCTTTGCTGCTGAAGATGGGGATAGAGCACTTATGTGAATGTCCAGTCAATTCCTAATTCAACTATCATCATTCTTGCACAGCAGCTTACTTCATAACCCTGAAATGTCCCAGTATGCCTGTGTTATACTGATGAAAAGTTTCTGACATTTGCTCCTGTTTGATTTTGTCTGAAAAAGTAGCTCTGTAAGTCTTTTGTTGCAGATATTTTCAGGCTGTGATCCAAGGAGGGAAAATGTTTTTTTTTTGGTAATAGGTGTATAACGATCTCGATTTTTATCTTAAAAGTGATTTATTTTAACTAATAAATATTCATGCCTGAAAAAGTTCAGATAATAATGATATAGGGCATAAGAGTTAAAGTAACAACAGGGACTCAGTGGGTTAATATAATAACAGCTGGGGCAGATGGGTGAATATAACAACTGGGTCAGAGAGGATTAATACAGCAATTAGATGTTACAAAGGGAGGTTGAATGTTGAATTAAGAATCACAGCACTCGGGACACTCCCATAAGCGCTCTGTCCCCATCAACAGCAGCAAGCGAAGAGTTAAAATTCCGATGTTACACAGGGAGGTAAGAAAGGGAATCATGACAGTAGAAACCAACAGGCTCAGTAATAATTGTTTAGTTCTGAAAACAAATTCTGCAGCAGATGGGTCAATATGGGTCACCATAACGGAAGGGGAGACAAAAGTTTCAGAACTAGAATGAAGGAATGAATAAAGAATTGACGTTACTGCACACTGGACATTCCCACATGTACTCCGTCCCCTTCTTCAGTAGCCAGCCAAGAGTTGGCATGCTAATAGTCCAAGTTGCAACCTGAATAAAGTCCGGCACTGTTTCCCATTCAGTGCTGAATATCTTCCAGATAATGCACCATCCCCACCCCCTCCTTCCACCTCTTGAATTAGTCTTTCAGTGTAGGGACTCTGTATCTGTTCTTCTGCACTGTCAGTTCGATCCTATAGAGCCCTCACCACATCCAGTTTATCATGAAGTAACTCACCTTTCAGTGGAGCGGCAGCAGCTAATTTATCAGCCTGCTCGTTACCTCGCGCACCTGAATATCCTAGACAGAACATTCATATGCTCCGGATCTGGATGTTATCAAGTAAGCCACTCTGTTGCAGGACACCAGTTTCAGTTTTTCAAAGCATGCACTTTGATTCTGTTACAGTTTACAACATGTCGGGCTGTGCTGTTCTCCAGCCATAGGAAAGCTGCTGTTACTGCCTCCACCTCCATTCTCATACTTGATGTAGTGATGTTGTACTCAAAGTTCTCTATTTTCAAACAGTATCAATTCACCTTTGCTATAAAATCCCACCTACTCTTCTTACCTCTCACTGCAGACCCATCTGAATAAATTATGATGTCACCTCCGCGTGAATTGTCATTGATCATCACTTGCACCACGGACTCTCTTTCACCAGCTATCCATTCCCAGCACTCTCAGTCCAACGTATCACTCCGTGCAAGTATTTTGCTGAGCGGCACTGTAACCAACTCTTCACTGTGCTCTATCTTGTCAGTAGCACAAACAGTTCTGATCCTGTCAGAATTGGAAATGATTTATGTAAGTAAAGTAAAGGTCCCTTTTTCACCCCTTAAGGCGTATAGGGCATATAGGGCTAGACCTATATTTTTACAGATAAGTCTACACAAAATAAGTGATGTGGTCTTGGTCGACCTAGGAATCAAGGTCATTTTTGAAAAAAGTCTGGCTCTGCCAGGGAGTGAGCTCACGTCCTTCTGATCCACATGCGACCGCCTAGTCGCTACGCCGTGGCGACTCCCAATATGAGTAAGTAACAGTTAAGAAAGTAAACAAAGGTCCCTTTTCATGCCAGTGCTGAAATGGGTAAATGGTGCTAGACTTATTTTTTGATAGACCAATCGGCTGCCAGCGTGTGATGCGAAATCACCTGGTCACTGTTTTGGCTGACTTGTCCTGGAAGACAGGGTCAGTATTTTGTAAAATGTCCACCCTGATGCAGATTTGAACTGAAGACATTCAGGCCCGCAGGCGAGCATTTAGTTACAGCAGCGGCTGATGATTTAAGTAGAGCTCAACAGATGCACTGAGTGTGAGATATATATTAGTTTCCATACATGAGAAAAATATATGTGTTTGATGAAAATCAACTTATTTATATAATTTACTCTAGTAAATGACCAAACAAAATTATAAATGACAAGACAGGAGTCCCCTTAAATGAACCACAAAAGATCCTAGAGAGATGGCATCAACATTTCAACGATCTACTTAACTTTCAATCAGAGGAACAATCCACAACACAAGAAATCAACAGCTACATAAATAAAAATTAGAACCAAGCAAAACACTTGCAGAAATAAGAAATGTTATAAGAGGCACCTTCCAACGCAGCACCAGGCTCTGAATATTTACCTGCAGAACTGTTCAAAGCAACATAAGAGGAAGGCGTAAAATGGATGCACAGACTGTTTAACCTAGCCTGGACAACACAAGAGACATCAGAGGACTGGAGAAATGCAATAATAGTACCCATCTGGAAGAGGAAGGTGTAAAATGGATGCACAGACTGTTTAACCTAGCCTGGACAACACAAGAGACATCAGAAGACTGGAGAAATGCAATAATAGTACCCATCTGGAAGAACAAAAACAACAAGAGAGACTGAGAAGTCTAGAAGAGTTTCGTTATTGAGCCACACCGGGAAAATATTTTGTAAGATCCTTTAAAAAAAGGCCACGCTCTGTTATCAGTGAAGTACAAATAAGATTCCAGAAGAACAGAACTTGAACTGATGCAATAATCATATTTAGGTAGTTAATAGAAAGGACTATAATTTGATAAAGAATTACACGTAGCATTCATAGACCAAGAGAAAACTTTTCATCGAGGTAATAGAAATAAATTGTGGAAGGATTATGGAGTAAACAAACACCTTATTAAATTGTGCAAGAGTTTATACGTGAACAGTCAGTGTGACAGATATAATAATATCAGCATACACAAAACAAAATTAAGCACATATTCCAGAGAGGAAAAAAAAAAAAAAGATATCAAAAGTGATGAACACCAATTAAAGCAGTAGCAAGATTTTACATATCTGGGGAGCATTTTTTCGGAAGGTGGAAGAATTAGTAAAGAAATCCAACAAAGATGCAATAAAGCCAATCAATTTTCAGGCCAAATGGCACCAATTTTTAAATACAAGCATGTGAATATGAACACTAAAAGACAGCGTTCAATACAGTATTCTTACCAACACTTATGCTATCAATGTCAAACATGGAAGCTGTCTTCAGAAGACAGAAGGAAAAATAGTAATGATAGACATTAAATGTTTACCTACTATGTGTGTAAAATGGATGCACAGACTGTTTAACTTAGCCTGGACAACACAAGAGACATCAGAGACTTGAGAAATGCAATAATAGTACCCACCTGGAAGAGGAAGGCGTAAAATGTTTGCACAGACTATTTACCCTAGCCTGGACAACACAAGAGACATCGGAGTAATAGTACCCATCTGTAGCGAGGAAAGATCGACTTAGGAACAATGATATCAGGAGAAGAGGCGGCAGAAAACCAATACTGAACTTTATAGGTAGACCCACAAAAAAATCAAATTGTTTGATCATGTAAACAAGATTGACACCAGACAGGGCACCACAGAAAGCAATGTTATACAGATACAGCGGTAACAGAGACAGAGGTCGACCAGTCAGATGACTACTAAAAAGTACTTTACATGAAACGAACAGAAAGTCCCGTTCCAGAGATCTCCTCCTGCCCTGATGCGGCGAGGCTTTCCAGGAATAGAGAAAAAAGAAGTCTCCTGCCTGGCTACCATTGTATTAAAAAAATAATTTGATGTGTGTCCTCCGCTGTTGAAGAACGTTTATAAGCACATCTTGAGTTATGCTTGTAAAGACGTTGGTGACATGCTCATTTTTCCCATGTATGGAAACTTATGAGACACCCTGTGGGTACAAGATTAGATATGTATTCACTGATATTTCATTAATGTTGACTGTTGGAGCCTCTCCACACATGTGACATGCTTTTATTGTTGTTAACATACTCTAACATATTGCAGCTAAAGATGGGGACAGAGCACTTATGAGAATGTCCCAGGTGCTATGATGTTGGTTCTTTAAACTCAACTCAACTGTTAACATTTTGCATCTGTTACTTTTAGGTCCAATATTTGTTAGCACGTTGCCTCCAAGCTCAAACGGTACCTCACATCTGAATTCTACGTAAGTAAAGACAGTAAACGTATATCATCATAATAGTCTTTCCGTGTGGGTTCCGGGGCTCCTCGGGGAGGAGGGAGAAAATAAACACTCTGCCTGCCTCATAATTGTGTCCTAAGAGTCAGCTAGGTAAGTCTTTGCTGAAATCGCTGCTAAAAGGAGCTAAAAGGAGCCTAGACATTGAAATCTGTTTGTAAATCATAACACAGTGTACCAACTGCCTTTTTAACAGATCAAAAACAGAAAGAGAAGAAAAATCATCATAATAAAAATATGTAAATAAAATCTTTATTTATATGAACTCATTCACGACTAAGCAACTTATCAGACATTTTTGTTTTTGTTTCTCCTGACATGCTTTTCTGAACTCTTTCTGCCACAGATGGTTTCCAAGTAGAAACTCACTTTAGCCAGCTATATGAGACTTTTTACAGCAGAACATCTGGGAGGAAGGTGAGAGGAAGACCTAAAAAGAGATGGATAAATGGTGTCGCTGAAACCTACAAAAAGGTGAACAAATCCGTCACCCGAGCCACCTGAGAGGTTCAGGACAAATACAGAAAACTATGACACTGGGCGACGACAAAAGAAGAAGCAGAAGAATAAACTCAGTTTAGCACAATATTCACATTGAAAAAGGCATTGACGTTTGACTTTCAGAGGTACAGCATATACTGTGCTGCATTTAAACTACCCACATTTGGCCAGATTACTTTCGCATTCGCAGACCAGACATGAAATAAATAACACATGATGTGTTGAGTTGGTACACTTAGGCATAAGCTGAGCAAACATCACAAGTTATATATTGTGAGGGCCCTTTTGGAGCAAGTGAACAGTGGGGATGCGCAGATAGATCATTAAGGTCTGAAGAGAATGGCGCTGCAAGGAGTTACCAAGGAATCTGGCAGACGCTCAACACTCAGGGGAATGATAAGACAGATATACAATCAGACAGTTACTAGTATCATCGGAATTTGAACTTTTCGCTTGCTGCTGAAGATAGGGACTGAGCACTTATGGGAGTGTTCTGAGTGCTGTGGTACACCAAAAGCAGAGCTCATATTGGTCATAAACCTCTGAAATGTCGGTCCCCAATGTGGGACACAATTTTTCATTATTTTGAAGCCCCATTCAGGCTGTGTTCAGGAGCCCTAATTATAACCCTGTGGGTTGAACGGAGTTTATGGAAGCTGGCCCCGGATGATCCTCATCTAAAGCGGGGCACTTTGCGTCTGCGGGTGTTTATCGCTTGATGTGATATCCTGCTGAGGTAAACTGTCAGTCATACTGGTCATAATCTATCTGCATTAATGTGCAGTCATCCTGGAAACAGGTTTTAAGTCAGAACCTATCTGCATTGCTGTGCAGTCATCCTGGAAACGGGTTTCCAGTCTGAACCTATTTGCATTACTATGCAGTCATCCTGGAAACAGATTTCCAGTCTCAACCTATTTGCATTACTATGCAGTCATCCTGGAAACAGGTTTCCAGTCTGAACCTATTTGCATTACTGTACAGTCATCCTGGAAACAGGTTTCCAGTCTCAACCTATTTGCATTACTGTATAGTCATCCTGGAAACAGGTTTCCAGTCTCAACCTATTTGCATTACTATGCAGTCATCCTGGAAACAGGTTTCCAGTCAGAAGCTTGGCCAACCTGGATAGGATCCACATTTTCTTTGAGTCAGAGCACTATTACCTGAGAGGTGATGAACCAGCAGTCTGGACATAAATAAGACAGATTTATAAGATGGATGTGCACACAACACTCAAGTTCTGGAAGAAGGTCAGAGTCCACAAATGGACCAGGAACCAAAACGTTGCGGCAAGTGAACATAAACAGAAAGAAGAAATGTTACTTTACAGTATTTGCAACATGAATCCACAGTTGACTTTTTTTTTTTTTTTTTAAATCTCCTAATATCATTTTATCTTGATCTGCAACATCTTTGTTACCAATCTTTTCAGGTATCAAGAAGATTATTCTCAAGTACAAACAACAATACAGCCAAACAATACTGCAGGTAAAAATCTCAAAGTAATAAACGATTATCTGATTGGCTGAAGCACTAGTTAGTCTTTTCTCTTGAGCCTAAGGCGGCGATAGGGCAGAGGTCATAGCTGTCCATGTCTGGCGGTTTGTTGCCACCTGTTTTAGGTCTTGAATCTTAATTAGGCCCATAATTGAGCCTTCACTGATGATGGTTTTACGCAGTCTCTCTTGGTCTTCCCCGTTTTCTGTTCCCTTCTCGTGTCCATATGACGGCTTGATGGGGGAGTTTTGTCTTATCTATTCTGAGTGCATGGCCGATGTAGTTCCAGTTTTATAAAATTTGAAACATTATCTTTCTTGGTCTCTTGTCTTATTTGCGTATTGGATCTGTCCAGTGGAGTATCAGTATTCTTCTAAGACATTTTTTCTCAAGAGCTACTGTCGCTTTCCAGATTTCGCAGCTATCTAGCACTTGATTCATAAATACATTTGCCGATATTATTTGGCACAAGAAGAGAGAGATATTAGAATAGATGCTTGATTATAGTTTTTCTATTAATTTTTAATTTTAAAAAAAGAAGGTAAATTGCCATTACTTTCCTACTTGGCAGTGATCATACGGGTTGGTTATGTAGTCATTGTTTCCAGACCAATGCTTCCCAAATATTTTGGTTCATGGAGCAATTTTTAAAACCAATTTCTCTCGTGGAACCCATCAGGCCTCTTATACCTTGCACAGATTTTACTTTTTGTTTCCTTATTTTCAACTTGTTCAATTTTTATTTGTTTTCATGTAGCAGCAGCCACTACATGAAAACAAATGCACATGCAGTCCTGAGGTCTCCATGGAGAACCAGTTATAAACCGCTGCTCTATGCATTGATGCTCTGCTATCATTGTGGAAGCTCAGACCAGGAAGTTCATTGCACTTTGTTGTACCTTATATGGTTCAGTCTCTCTCTCCACAGAGCTGCTGACAGACAGCTTCACACAAAGCACTAATCTCTTTAGATCTAGTGATGAGCCCCGCCCCCCATGATCTCTAAAACACTTGCACTCACAATCAAAACATCAGAATCACTCCAGTGATGAATCAAGCATATGATGCTGGTCTCATAGTTTTTATAACCAACTGGCGCTCAATGGGTGATGTGGTCAACATCACGCCGGCCACGTTTACTTCCCAAGACATTACCTGGTACCCATTTTAGTCTAGGTCGACCTTAGAGCTAAGATCAGTTTTGAAGAAATAATCTGCTTTCAAATATTATTATAGTATATTTCTTTGGTTTCCCATATAACAAGATTTGAAACTGAGCATCTCACATCTAGACAGCCATGTCCACTTCTTTGTGTTTTCTGTGGTTTCTGCAGCAACAAAAAGAAACAAAATACCTAGTGAAAGTGGAAATAGAAAGATGAAACAGACTTGATATTTCAACCCACATACACTTATCTAAAGCACCAGCAGTAGTGAGAAAAATGAGTAATGATTATTTCATAGCTTGTTCATTTCCAGTCTATGCTAGCGGTGCCAGACGTAGTCACTTAGGATAAACCATTCAAGAAAATTAGTAACCATGGAAATGAGATGTCTGATAAGGGCTGCAGGAGGGAACAGAAGAGATAAAATCAGAAATGAGGTCATCAGAGAAAAAAAGTCGGCACAGAACCAGATACAGAGTCAACAAATCAAACGGTTTACCCATTTAGACAGCATGCCTTGAAATGACATACCAGACAAGGCATACACGAAAAAAGGAGATGGATGAAGAGCAAAAGGCAGACCAAGAACCAGATGGAAAGATGATATTAGAGAAACACTTCAGTGGCATGTTATGTTTATGGCTGAGAATGATGAATGCTGAATTAAGAATGGACATGACAGCACTCAGGACACCCCCATAAGCGCTCCGACCCCATCTTCAGCAGCAAGGAAAGAGTTAAATTCCAATGGTACCAGTGACTGTCTGATTGTATATCTGTTTCGCCTTTCCCCTGAGTTTTGAGCATCGGCCAGATCCCCTTGTAACTCCTTGCAGTGCCATTCTCCTCAGACTGTAATGATCTGTCTGTTTCTCCGCACTGTTAACTCACTCCCAAAGGGCCCTCACAACATCCAGCTTGTCATACATCAGTTTACCACCAAGTGGTGCAGAACCGGTTAGTCTATCTGCCTGCTTATTTCCCAACACTATAGCTGAGACAGCGGAAAGAAAAGAAGCAGAAACTTATATCTCCCTCGACACCTGAATGGGTAAAGGAGTGAAGAAAAAGAAGATCATTTCAAAACAGAGTGTTTAATGTTTTTTGTGTGTTTTGTTTTGTAGATATTATAGCTCAGGAGAGGAAAGAGATCATGATGTACATGTACTATCGTAAGTGTACATATTTTATTATTTATAATTAACTCCAGGGTGTCCAGTAAGTCTCTGTACATAGAAAAAAATTTTTTTTAAAAAGAAAACCTTTGTTTTATATATAATATGCTCTACATCAGTGTCTCCCAAACTTGTCTTAGTCGCGGCGCCGTTTTTCAATTGAAATATTTCCGTGGCGCCCTGACCTATGTAAAAGTATAACTATTTGTAAGAGATGAAAAAAAATTATATATCTTCGGATATTTTGCGGGGCCCCTGTGAAGAGGTCGTGGCTCCTGGGGCATCACGGCGAATAGTTTGGGAATCACTGCTCTACATGACTACCATTGTTTAGAAAATGTATTTCCCTGAGTATAATTCACAGCTAAAAACACAAACTATCACGGCCAGAGTTATGCTTGTAATGACGTTGGTGATGTGTTTATTTTGTTCTGTGTATTTTTAACTCATAGGGCACCCCGTAGAATGAATTAGAATTGTATGGGGGTGGGAGGGGGGGGGGTGGTTGAAGAGACTCACTGCCACTCAGCCCCTTCCCTCCACCACATAAACAAGCTTATCATAAAAGGCAACTAGTTGGGGTTTTTTCTTTGAAGTCTGAGTGCATCTGCCCAAGAGGCGAGGAACCAACAGTCTGCTTACAAATAAGCCATATATGTTACACAGTATGCATCTTAAACTCAAGTTCTGGAACAAGAACTAAAGTCCAGAAGTGGACGAACAACCAGAACTTTCCACTATAGTTTCCAGCAGGTGAATGTGAAGAAGAAGACTACCAGTTTATACCTTATGTTTATACCTCTTTGTTTCAAAAGATACTTGTTCTAACAGTCATCCCAGACTACCAGTTTGTACCTTATGTTTATACCTTTTGTTTCAAAAGATACTTGTTCTAACAGTCATCCCGGACTACCAGTTTATACCTTATGTTTATACCTCTTTGTTTTAAAAGATACTTGTTCTAACAGTCATCCCAGACTACCAGTTTATACCTTATGTTTATACCTTTTGTTTCAAAAGATACTTGTTCTAACAGTCATCCCAGACTACCAGTTTGTACGTTATGTTTATACCTCTTTGTTTTAAAAGATACCTAACAGTCATCCCTAGTTGTTCTATGGATCTAGCACTTTTTCGATTTAAATATGGACATAGTAAATATATGTTTATGTGTGGATGTATGTGCATGGAGATTATGAGAATCTAGTGCACAGCTAAGCTGAATTGCCACGTAATCAGAAAACTGGTCACTGCATAGTTGCTTCATTCCCATACCAGCAAATAACCACAGAAATGTTTGTCACCATCCCTTGTGAAAAAATGACACACTGCAGTCTCAGCAGATCGATAGCATTGACTCTGCTAAGCAGAGTACCATTTAAGTGCTTGGTGCACATACTTCTCCAACTGCAAGTATCTCTCTTTCATAGACAGGTGATACTCAGGTGTGGTTGTTGGTCCTCAGAACTGATAAACATCAGTCCAGGATTGCCTCAGGGTTCTCTGCTGTCCCAAGTTCTATTCAGTGTGTGCTGATACCTGAGCAGCAGTTGCACGGGAGTGGCAGGACCTTGCCATTTGCTGATGACCTCTTGGTAATTCGTCATGAAATAGACCATCAAGAGATTGCCAATTCAGTGCATAGTGAACTTGATTGCATCTCCACCTGGTGTGCAGATTCTAATGCTCATGTCAACCCTGCGAAGGCCCCAGTAACGTGGTTCTCCTTGAACACCCATATAGTAAAGGCAGACTTACCAGCAGTGGAAAGCAGCGAGGACATTTTGATGAGAACAAATCTGATGACATATTTTCAGTGAATTATATCCTTGTTTCAAAACTGTATTTATCTCATTAGTAACATAAATGGCATAGTGATTAGAGAGGCTGTCATGTGGGAGACTCAGGTTCCATCCTCAGTGAACAGTGGACATTTTTTTCTTTCACGGGCAAGAACGACAAAATCCTAACCTGCACAGTTTGTGACAACTACACTAGCCATGCAGCCTTAAATTATTAAGCTCGCGCTCTCTGTACAATACCGCCCTATAAGTAGTAAATACAAGCAGCAAAGATTGTGGGATTAATGGGAATTTTAAAATGTATCACTTCATCAAATCATAGCAAAACAAAATTCTCAGTAGAAGTTATCTTATCCTGCTATGAACAATGGAAAATGGCATTAATAGCATACACCAACCCACCTTGGATAACCGGTTACTTAACAAACAAATTCTGCTCAGACGCAACTGTTATGTACAGTTCAGTGGGGTTTCGGGTATTTACTCCTGTTGGATTGATATCAAAGTTGTGACTGCTGTTTGAGTCACTGGGTGTGAATCCTTCAGGCTGAAATCCTGGAAGAACAAGTTTTTATTATTAAACAAAATATTGTTTTAAATATTTTAAAAATAAAAATGTAACACTTGAAAGTTAATAAATTATAAATAAATTTTTCGCTATTTTTGTATTCCCACCTCAAGGATTGCACTCTTTAGAATTAACATCTCAAAGAGGAGACTCAAACAGGTACAAATCAAAGAAACCTGTTCAACCATATAGCGTGGTTATATTAAAAAGTAAAAAAAAAAAAGTAAAGATCCCTTTTCACGCCTTTCTGCGCATCGGGCATATGGGCAGAGCGTCCCATATTTTTACAGACCATCAGCACTCTGTGGGTAATGTGGTCAGCATTACGCCGGCTGTCTTTACTTTCCCAGGACAGCCCATCCTGGTACCCATTTTAGGCTGGGTCGACCTGCGACGTCCCATACCACGACAAAAATCCACGCAGCCTGCAGTGGGTTTCGATCGCGGTATGCTGGCTTACGAGTCGGACTCGCAACGCCTTAGCCACGGACGCCGCGTGGTTATATTGGGGCACCACAAACCGGTTACCAAGTAACTTGTAGTTGAGGGTGCGGGTGAGTGTGGATTAAATTATTGTTATGTTAGTGGACTTATTCAGCGTTTCCTTTGGTGAACATATAAATTATTTAAAAACATTTTTTGATTGACAGAATGTGGATTTACAGTTTTTGTGTTTGCCATCATCTTGTGCTATTTTCCGGCCAAGCCGCCCAACCCTCCCTGCGTGTCAGCCACTGTTGAGAGGGATCTCTACTGGGCGGGTCTGTGGTCATTGAGAAAGTGAGTTTTGTTAATCAAAGTTATATAAGTGCTAGGGAGTGGGGTAGTAAAATATATATCAGAGGCGATGTAAATTCTTCTTCTTCTTTGTGATGGGTTTCAGAAGCTCAAGTTACTTTTGCTTTGAGAACTAGCCACACAGACATGTTTTTGTTGTAACCGACTCACAAAGCATGTTAACTTTTTTAGTCCCAGGGAGCTTAGCATCAGAGGCCCAATGGGTAGTCAAGTGAGGCATAAAATCTTGCGTTCATTGGGCTTCTAGGTAAGAACCTATGAACGTATGATGCGTTCCTTGGGTCTGAAAGAGTTAAGAAAGGTGGAGACAGGCGTGCTCCATTCAGAGTGGGAAGCATTGTTTCAGAGGTTTTACTCCTGGTAAGCCTTATTTTGATGTTTTGTACGGGTCATGCTGAAGTGTTGGGAAATGAACAGGCAGACTGATTGACTGGTTCTGCACCAATGGGTACTGAATGTATGCATGACAAGCTAGATGTGATCAAGACCCCCTTGGGAGTGTGTGAACAATGCGGCGGCATGCATAGATTAGTTTGGTCCTGGGAGAATGATACAGCTAGGGGATCTGGTCTACGCTCAGAGAGAATGATACAGCTAGGGGATCTGGTCTACGCTCAGAGAGAATGATACAGATAGGGGATCTGGTCTATGCTCAGAGAGAATGATACAGCTAGGGGATCTGGTCTACGCTCAGAGAGAATGATACAGCTAGGGGATCTGGTCTTCGCTCAGAGAGAATGATACAGCTAGGGGATCTGGTCTTCGCTCAGAGAGAATGATACAGCTAGGGGATCTGGTCTACGCTCAGAGAGAATGATACAGCTAGGGGATCTGGTCTACGCTCAGAGAGAATGATACAGCTAGGGGATCTGGTCTACGATCAGAGAGAATGATACAGCTAGGGGATCTGGTCTACGATCAGAGAGAATGATACAGCTAGGGGATCTGGTCTACGCTCAGAGCGAATGATACAGCTAGGGGATCTGGTCTACGCTCAGAGAGAATGATACAGCTAGGGGATCTGGTCTACGCTCAGAGAGAATGATACAGCTAGGGGATCTGGTCTACGCTCATAGAGAATGATACAGATAGGGGATCTGGTCTACGCTCAGAGAAAAGGCATGACGGACACATAATCAAAATGATGATGATGACACCATCAAAATTGGAACTCTGACAGCATATTTGTTTACTCTGACAGCAAATTTGTTTACTCTGACAGCATATTTGTTTACTCTGACAGCATATTTGTTTACTCTGACAGCATATTTGTTTACTCTGACAGCATATTTGTTTACTCTGACAGCATATTTGTTTCCTGCAAGGGTTGTGTATTTGGCCCGTTTGGAAGTAATATACCCATTAATTTAGTATTGCCATTTGTAACTTTCTCTGACATTAGCCTTGTGAGTCTGAATGAGTAAAATCTTTCTTTTCCTTATCTTTCATCTCATCAGAGCCTTCACTTTTTAAGTCTTCCTTTTCTTTATCTTTTGTTTGTGTCTCTTTTCTTCCTAATCTCACACCCTGTAAGGTTAATCTGATGGTTTCTATCCATTATGTTTATATTAGATAACTATGTTGATTCTACTCTTTTGAAGTTTTTAATTTAATTCTTTCTTCTTAACAACAGGAAAGGCTACTTTCTAATTATTGCTGTCACATACGGTGTCTCTCTCGGTGTCATAAATGTTTGGGCTTCTGTCATCGCTATGAACCTTGCTGGCTATGTTAGTCAGGTAGGTAATGTCTTTTTGAGGTCAGAGGATTTGTTAGATTGATAATATCTCTGTGAGGTCACAGGGCTTCAGGGGTAAGTAGCAACTTCTAGTAATTTTCCCTCGTCTTCGGGTAACAGGATTGGATGCCCGTGTGCATTGTAAAAAAATCCCTTGGCAGTTGGAAATTGAAAATGGTAGGCTGCCCAGGCTAAATTTGGAGTTAAAACATTTACTAAAAGTATTTCAGGATCCTCGCCAGTGCTGCGGATGTAGTCCTGATTGCTGTGATGTCAGTTTTTATTTAAAAATTAAACATCTTGTGAAACATCTTTTGGAGGTCATAGGCTGAACACTGATTTTTATATATATATATATGAAAAACATAAATTAAGTTTGAAAAATTATCTGTGACAGGTAATGTTTTTAATAATGTTATAAGTGGAAATAAACTTGAAAACAGTTTCAGCTGGCAAACTTTGGGGAAACAACACGAGGAAGACAAAGAGAAGAATGAAGAGATGACTTGGGCAAGTGGTATATTCTTCTTCTTCATTTTTACTGGCTCTGAATTCTGGCGAAAAGTCTTGGGTGTTCGTCCACTTCTGGACTTTAGTCTTGTTCCAGAACTTGAGAGTTGTGCATACATATCTGTTTTACAAATCTGGCTTTTGCTCTGCAGACTGTTGGTTCCTTACCTTTCAGACAGATGCTCTCTGACTTTGAAGGAAAACCCCCTAATTTATCAGTGTATCTGACATGCTTGTTTGAGGTGAGGCGGGCAGTAGGTCTGTCCCCACCCTAATGGGGAACCAGAATCCATTCTGGGAAAGCAAGTGGATCAGAACAAAGGCAATTGACTTTGGTGATCATGTAAAATGGCAAACTCTGATTGCTTACCGATACATTTCTTGTTGATGATGATGATGAAATAAAGTTTCTTGCATGTTCTTTTACCAGATTTTCACAAATCAACCCAAATTTGTTTACATTTGTGGTTTCGATAGACAGTTTTACATTCAGGAGTTTGCCATTACTTTCCTAATACTTATGCCATTTTTTTAAATCAGTGCTAAATGGTCTGCCGCCAAATTGCCACTGAAACAAACTGGTGGGTCAGAATTGTGGAACTGTAATTGAAATTACAAAAGCTGTTATTGAAATGAGCTATTTCTGATTAGAGACATGACTCCTTTGTAGAATTTAATATATTTTACTTATGTGTATTAGACAGCTGGCTATTTGCAAAATTTATTTATTTATTGGAGACAGCTGGCTATTTGCAAAATTTATTTATTTATTAGAGACAGCTGGCTAATTGCAGAATTTATTTATTTATTGGAGACAGCTGGCTAATTGCAGAATGAAATATAATTTTTGTGTGTGTAGGAGACAGCTGGCTTTTTGCAGAATTTAATATTATTTATTTATATGTAGGAGACAGATTGCTATTTGCAAAATTTCACATATTTATTTGTATGTAGGAGACAGCTATTTAGGAGATGTCTTTATTTTTGCAGAATTTAATATTAATGTTTTTTTTTGTGTAGGGGAGCCAGCTGTAGTTTATTTATTTGAAAAGAATATTAGCAGAAGATTACAATTATTTATTTGAAGGAAACAGCTGACTATTTGCAACATTTAATGTAACATTTATTTGTGTGTAGGAGACAAGCTATTTGCAGAATTTAATATACATTTATTCATGGGTAGAGACAGCTGGCTATTTGCAGACTATTTAAGTTTAATGTTCATGGGTATTTGCAGACATTTAAGTTTATGTGTTGTAGGAAACAGCTGGCTATTTGCAGAAGATAATATAAGTTTATTTATGTGTAGGAAACAGCTGGCTATTTGCAGAAGATAATATAAGTTTATTTATGTGTAGGAAACAGCTGGCTATTTGCAAAAGTTAATATAAGTTTATTTATGTGTAGGAAACAGCTGGCTATTTGCAGAAGATAATATAAGTTTATTTATTTATTTGCAGAAGATAATATAAGTTTATTTATGTGTAGGAGACAGCTGGCTATTTGCAGAAGATAATATAAGTTTATTTATGTGTAGGAAACAGCTGGCTATTTGCAGAAGATAATATAAGTTTATTTATGTGTAGGAAACAGCTGGCTATTTGCAGAAGATAATATAAGTTTATTTATGTGTAGGAAACAGCTGGCTATTTGCAGAAGATAATATAAGTTTATTTATGTGTAGGAGACAGCTGGCTATTTGCAGAAGATAATATAAGTTTATTTATGTGTAGGAGACAGCTGGCTATTTGCAGAAGATAATATAAGTTTATTTATGTGTAGGAGACAGCTGGGTATTTGCAGAAGATAATATAAGTTTATTTACTTGTAGGAAACAGCTGGCTATTTGCAGAAGATAATATAAGTTTATTTATGTGTAGGAGACAGCTGGCTATTTGCAGAAGATAATATAAGTTTATTTTTATGTAGGAGACTGCTGGCTATTTGCAGAAGATAATATAAGTTTATTTATGTGTAGGAGACTGCTGGCTATTTGCAGAAGATAATATAAGTTTATTTATATGTAGGAGACTGCTGGCTATTTGCAGAAGATAATATAAGTTTATTTATGTGTAGGAGACTGCTGGCTATTTGCAGAAGATAATATAAGTTTATTTATGTGTAGGAGACAGTTGGCTATTTGCAGAATTTATTTATGTGTAGGAGACAGCTGACTATTTGCAGAATTTAATATTATTTATTTATATGTAGGAGACAGATTGCTATTTGCAAAATTTCACATAAATTATATGTAGGAGATGTCTGGCTTTTTGCAGAATTTAATATTGTTTTTTTTTTAATGTGTGGGAGCCAGCTGTATATTTGCAGAATTTAGCATTTACAATTATTTATTTGAAGGAAACAGCTGACTATTTGCAACATTTAATGTACATTTATTTGTGTGTAGGAGACAGCTATTTGCAGAATTTAATATACATTTATTCATGGGTAGGGGATTGCTGACTATTTACAGAATTTAATGTACATTTATTTATGTGTAGGAGACAGCTGGCTATTTGCAGAAGATAATATAAGTTTATTTATGTGTAGAAAACAGCTGGCTATTTGCAGAAGATAATATAAGTTTATTTATGTGTAGGAAACAGCTGGCTATTTGCAAAAGTTAATATAAGTTTATTTATGTGTAGGAGACAGCTGGCTATTTGCAGAAGATAATATAAGTTTATTTATGTGTAGGAGACAGCTGGCTATTTGCAGAAGATAATATAAGTTTATTTATGTGTAGGAAACAGCTGGGTATTTGCAGAAGATAATATAAGTTTATTTACTTGTAGGAAACAGCTGGCTATTTGCAGAAGATAATATAAGTTTATTTATGTGTAGGAGACAGTTGGCTATTTGCAGAATTTATTTATGTGTAGGAGACAGCTGACTATTTGCAGAATTTATTTATATGTAGAAAACAGCTGGATGGATTGGATTCTATGCAACACTTGGCGCTTGTGCAGCTTCTCTGGTCATTGGCAGGTAAGGTGTCCTTAGAACTGATCAGCTTTGGGCATGTGGCTGTAGTCTGTTGACAGTAAAACATTAAATGTGGAGGCAACATTTCCAGTCTAGACAGCAACACTTAACTGTTTTAGCAACACTGTTTTAGCAACACTGAACTGTTTTAGCAACACTGTTTTAGCAGCACTGAACTGTTTTAGCAACACTGACAACAAAAACACCTTTTTTAAATAGTATTAGCAACAGCACCACTTATCTTAACAGTCTTAGCAAAACATGACAGAAACACCAATTTAAACAGTATTAGCAGCAATGACAGCACAACTTATCTAAACAGTTTAAGCAAAACATGGCAGAAACACCTATTTAAACAGGTTAAGCAACAGCGACATCACCACTTGTCTAAACAAATTTAGCAAAACATGACAGAAACACCAATTTAAACAGTCTTAACAACAACAACATCACCACTTATCTAAACAAATTTAGCAAAGCATGACAGAAACACCTATTTAAACAACTTTAGCAACAGTGACAACACCACTTTTCTGAACAGGTTTAGAAACATGACAGCAACCCCTATATGAATGATTTTAGCAGCATCACAAAAACCCATTCTAAATAGTTTTAACAAAATGACAACACCTACATCATCAATTTTAGCACTTTGACAATACCACCTCTCTAAACATTCTTAGCAACATCTATCTAAACAGTTTTAGTAACATGACAACACCGCCTGTCTAAACATTCTTAGCAACATCTATCTAAACAGTTTTAGCAACATGACAACACCGCCTGTCTAAACATTCTTAGCAACATCTATCTAAACAGTTTTAGCAACATGACAACACCGCCTGTCTAAACATTCTTAGCAACATCTATCTAAACAGTTTTAGCAACATGACAACACCGCCTGTCTAAACATTCTTAGCAACATCTATCTAAACAGTTTTAGTAACATGACAAAACATCTATCTAAACAGTTTTAGAAACATAGCAAATGCTTTAGCAGCATTGACAACAAGAACATTTGTCTAAACAGCTTTAGCAACACCAGCTGAAACACTTAGCTGAACATATGTTATTTTACTTTGCATTTTTTTTCAGCACACAACCTTTTTTACAACAACAACAAAAACCAGCAATAACATATATTTATTCTGCTCCAACAGATTTGCAGACCTGTTTGTACGGTACATAAAATTATACATCCTCATTATGTATATCCTGGGCACTGGTTTTCTCGTTGCGTTTGCTTTGCTGTTGATCGGAGTTATACCTTATGCTGAAGGTAGGAATCATCAGTGTACTGGTTAGACATCAGGAGTGTACTGGTTAGACATCAGTAGTGTACGGGTTTGACATCATCAGTGAACTGTTTAGACATCAATGTACTGGTTAGACATCATCAGTGTACTGGTTAGACATCACCAGTGAACTGGTTAGATATCAGTGTACTGTAAAACATCATCAGTGTACTGGATAGACTTCAGTGTACTGGTAAGACATCATCAGTGTACTGGTTAGACCTCAGTGTACTGTTGGACATCATCAGCATACTGGTAAGACATTGTGAGTTTAATATTGGGCGGGTAAAGGTAAGTAATGTATGATGGGAACACCCTGGACAGATAAAGAATAACGAAGATATCTTTAGAGAAATCGACTGACAAAGGGAATCATGAGAAAGCTCAAGGAAAGAATCGTGAGTTAGCACAAGGTGAGAATCATGAGTTATGATTTGTTAAAAACTTCAAAGTCCTAGTGCATCTGCCTGAGAGCTGAGGCATCTGCATTCTGCATAGAAGTAAAATGGACGTGCATGCAAAACTCAAGTTCAGGAACTAGGCTAAATCTCAGAAGTGGACATACAACCAGAACTTTCCGGTGGACGCTAAGAAGAAGAAGAAGAAGCTTGCAGGCTAAAAATCATAAATGATTACTAGTTGTAATGAAACATTGAAGTAAGCTGGGACATCATAGAGAGGTGTCCTGTAAATTTCCATACATTGGAAAAGTAAGCATCTCACCAACACCATTACAAGCATAACTCCAACTGTGCTTATACTTGTTCTTCAGCAGTTGAGGACAAGGTTAGTTAGGTTATCATCATTGCACTCCAGACATGTCCATAGTTGCTCAGATCCTCCCCTCAGTATGAACCCCAGCGTCCGGTGTCTAAAAGTACGAGTTCTTTGTTGATTATCAAGTCCTCTGATATCCCTGATGTGCGTCTCGTTTGTTCCTATGCTGATCTTTTTTTCAAAGTCTATCATTCTGGCGAGTGATGTGGATTCACTGCCCCCAAAGTCCTCCACCCTTGCCATTTCTCAGAGGGTATTAATAATATCAGCATGATCTGTATGTCAAAAGTGGTAGCGGATCCAGCCAACATATCAGCTCTTTCATTTCTATCAACGCCTGCATATCGGGGAACAAAAATAAAGGTGACACCACGCAAAGTGGACTTATGAAATGATTCAAGCCATTGCCTTGCCACCGACCCTGCCTGAACCCTCCAGATCATTGAATTACTAATTATACATGCGCAGGTGTAGTTCTGTATTTCGAGCCACGCGTATGCTGTGTTACTGCCATCACCATCATGCTGTAAATGCCCGTGCGCTTCTTTGTTAGGGAATAACAGATCCATCTGTGTAGACCAGTACATATGCCTCACTAAAATTTTCACTGATGAGAGCGTTGACCTCTGCACTGACAGCAACAAGAGGAGGAAGACAATGACACACATAGAAATGTGTTTTCAAAACACTGATAGTCATGCAGAGCATATTATATAAATAAAATCGTTTTCATACAGAAATGTTTAATTTTTCTATCTATGGAAACATCGGGACAGCCAACCAGTTCATGGATTAGAATCCGCATTGGCAACCACATCCTGGCAGATTTTTATAATCGTAGGCTTCCAAGTTGGATACCATGAAATTCCCTTGGCGGTAAAGGCAGCTAGCATGATGTTTTCCATACCCATATTGTTAAAGTTAGTTGTGTATCTTTTACAGGACATTGAGGAATCAACCCCAGCATTTTTTGGGCTGTTGTGGTTTTTCTAGGCAAATTTATGTCCAGTAGTTTGCTATTGCTTTCTGGGTGGTCGGCTTTTCTATACCACTGTAGAAACCAACACGAGCCGTAAGGCCCGCAGCTGGGATTAAACCCGTCACTCCAGCATTACGAAGCGCATTCACAACGCCTAAACCATGGATGCCGACACACCCATATTGGTATTTGAATATATATATATATGAGGGTACTTCAAATGGAAACCGTACAAGTGGTATAGAAGTTACCAGAACTCTGGAGTGAATACTTGGTGTGTCTGACAAGGTGGTAAACAATCTGTCACCCATTGTAAAACTTCCTACTCCACTCATACACCTAGTGGATTGACAAGGAGGCATCACCATTCTGGAGCTTCATTACCAATGAATTTCTATAGTTTTCATCCTTTGAGAGGATTTTATTATTTACATAGACGGTTCAGTGTCAAGAGGCAAAAGAAGTGCTTAGGGTTTCTTAGCAAAACTTAATGGCCGACGTTTGGTGTAGGAGAGCCTAGCATATGATACCACAACATCCAGCTTGAGAATGGAGGTGGAGGCGGTCACTGCAGCTTTCTGCTGGCTAGAGAACACGACACACACACACACACACACATCATGATTGTAACTGACTCAGAAAGCATGCTGAGGAAGGCCAGGACAGACATGCTTGGTGCAGAGTGGCATGCTTCGCTGCTGAGGACATGGTGAGGAATATTGTCTAGATTTTTTCACAGGGATATGCCGGTGTGTTGGGAAATGAACAGACAGACAGACTGGCTGGCTCTGCACAACTTGGTGGAATACTGATGCATGATACGGCAGACGTGGTTGGTGCTTTGTGGGAGAGCGTGTACAGTTTGGAGGAGCAGATGGATCACCACCGTCTGGTGAGATTGATGCAGCGGGGAATGACGAGAGGTTCTGGCAAATGCTCGAGGCTCAGAGGAAAGGCAAGACGGATGTTTATTCAGATTGCTACTAGCACCATTGGTATCAGAACTCTTCACTGGCTGCTGCAGATAGGGATGGAGTGATAATGGGAATGCCCTGAGTGCAGAGATGTTGGTTCTTGGTTCAGATCAACTCAGCTCAACTCAACTCACCCTTTCACTGTTAAAAAAACAACAACTGATAACGGAATGCTGCTCCTCTTGGCCATCAAAATTGGGGCAGCCATCTTGAAACTGTCATTGGGATGTCACCATGTTTATCTGCACCACAAAATGTCATGACATGGTCTTTTACATTCATTTACTTTATTAATGATAATCTTCTTCAATTTCCTTTCCAGTTTACGTGTATGTAACAGTGATCGCAGCAAATGTGCTGTTTAATGCTGCTGTACCAATGTTGTATGAGATGGGCTGTGAACTGGCATACCCCACCAGCGAAGGGGCAGCAAATGGAATCCTCACCTACGTAAATAACTTCTGTGGGCTGGTGTTTCTGGCCGTGTTTTCTTTCCAAAATGTTGGTAAGTTTGTCTGTGTCTGCAGTGTTTTCTTTGCCAATAGTTGGTAAGTTTGTCTGTGTCTGCAGTGTTTTCTTTCCGAAATGTTGGTAACCATGTCTGCAGTGTTTTCTTTCAGAAATGTTAGAAAGTTTGTCTGTGTCTGCAGTGTTTTCTTTTGGAAATGTTGTTAAGTTTGTCTGTGTCTGTAGTGTTTTCTTTCGGAAATGTTGGTAAGTTTATCTGTGTCTGCAGTGTTTTCTTTCGGAAATGTTGGTAAGTTTGTCTGTGTCTGCAGTGTTTTCTTTGCCAAATGTTGGTAAGTTAGTCTGTGTCTGCAGTGTTTTCTTTCCAAAATGGTGGTAAGTTTGTCTGTGTCTGCAGTGTTTTCTTTCCAAAATGTTGGTAAGTTTATCTGTGTCTGCAAAGTTTTATTTGCAAGATTTTGTTAAGTTTGCATGAGCCTGTAGTGTTTTCTTTGCCAAAATTTAGTAAGTTTGAATAAGCCTACCGTGTTTTCTTTCCCATGAACCTGTATATTTTCTTTTCCAAATGTTGGTAAGTTTGCATGAACCTGTATATTTTCTTTTCCAAATGTTGGTCAAAGAAGAAGGAGTTAAGAGTTGAGTGACTGTGAACCCCACCAGGACCTCAAAATAAGGGGTAAACACCTGGTCACACAAAGTACCACCATTAAGATGAAAATCACCCGGGCACAAGTCCTAGAAACCCTGTTTAACCGTTCGGTTATATGATGACTCCTGATGACAGCCGGAGTCAAAGAACAAAACAAATTGTGTCCAATACTGGGACAGGATCTTTGAAGTTAGAGTTATCTTTCCTTACTAGTTTTTGTTTAATAGTCGTCCCCATGTTGGATGCAATTTTTGTGTTATTTGAAGCCCCACCCTGGCCTCTGCCGGGGGCCCTGAATATAGCCTGGCCGTAAATATGGTTTAGGGCATAGATATGGTCATAACGGCTGAAAGGGGTTTCCTGGTCCTCTGCACAGGTGATCCTCATCCGCATGGTGGTGGCACTGTATGTCACCAGGTGTTTATCACTTGTTTTATGTCCTGGTGGGGTACAACTACCTACCTACCTAGTTCTTTTTCTCATATATTTAGTTGTAACCTATCACCAGGTACTATGTGGATGAACTGGGCGGCCATTGGATCAACAGCCGTATGCATACCCCTAATTGTTATGCTGAAGGGTAGATTTAACAGACTGGAGGTTGATCAGAAGGCTCTCAGAACTTTGGACCAAGAAATTGTTGTTAATTAGATACATGCAGTCTGTTGGCAGGGGAGTGAGCTGTTTGTATGTATATATATGTGTGTGTATGTATATATATATATATATATATATATATATATATATATATATATATATATATATATATATATATCAAATATGCTATGTATGATATTATATATATATATTAAACCATATCAAATTGCTATGTTGATTTACATATAAATTATTTTGTTTTTAAATTTAAATGAAACTGAAATTATTTTGTGATAGATGTCTGTACATAATTATCATGATGTGCCATATCAGTAAACATTGACTGTCATGTTTCACCATCTTAATGATCACCAGAATTACAGACTTGGTCATTTTTCTTGTCTCGCCTCATCCTTAAGGTCAAGCCATCCACGAATTTATCTTTTTTATCTTTCAGTCTTACATGTCGTTACCAAGTTCCTGAGCCAAATATTTCACTTCAAAAAACCAGACTGTATAATTTCTTAAATCTGTTTACCTGTACAGAACTCCAAGATTAAAACAATTGGTTCACAGAGAAGGGCTAAAACAGAAGAATAGAGTAATAAATAAGAACACAAGTTAACTTATTTGTGTGCAGACTGTTGGTTGCTCACAATTCAGACAAATGTGCTGTGACTTTGAAGGAAACATCAATTCTATCTGCTGTGACTTTGAAGGAAACATCAATTCTATCTGCTATGACTTTGAAGGAAACATCAATTCTATCTGCTGTGACTTTGAAGGAAAAATCAATTCTATCTGCTGTGACTTTGAAGGAAACATCAATTCTATCTGCTGTGACTTTGAAGGAAACATCAATTCTGTCTACATTGGTCATGCTCTGCTTTGGAACCTGTGTCTAGGTTTGGCCGGTTCTGCACCTCTTGGTGGTGAATTGATGCGCTAAATATGAATAACTCTTCTGCTTATCGCCCATGCACTGTGGTGTTGGTGATCATGTCCACAACCTTCTGCCATGTGCACTTTACATCATTTCTCGTACACACGTATCATGAGCTGGATGTTGATAGGGTCTTTTTACAGTGAGTGAACAGCACAGGGGTGAGTGAACAGCACAGAGGTGAGTGAACAGCACAGAGGTGAGTGAACAGCACAGAGGTGAGTGAACAGCACACAGTGGTGAACAGCACAACAGAACAGCACAGGGTGAGTGAACAGCACAGAGGTGAGTGAACAGCACAGAGGTGAGTGAACAGCACAGAGGTGAGTGAACAGCACAGGGGTGAGTGAACATCACAGGGGTGAGTGAACAGCACAGATGTGAGTGAACAGCACAGAGGTGAGTGAACAGCACAGGGGTGAGTGAACAGCACAGGGGTGAGTGAACAGCACAGAGGTGAGTGAACAGCACAGGGGTGAGTGAACAGCACAGGGGTGAGTGAACAGCACAGGGGTGAGTGAACAGCACAGAGGTGAGTGAACAGCACAGAGGTGAGTGAACAGCACAGAGGTGAGTGAACAGCACAGGGGTGAGTGAACAGCACAGAGGTGAGTGAACAGCACAGGGGTGAGTGAACAGCACAGGGGGTGAGTGAACAGCACAGAGGTGAGTGAACAGCACAGGGGTGAGTGAACAGCAAGGTGAGTGAACAGCACAGGGGTGAGTGAACAGCACAGAGGTGAGTGAACAGCACAGGGGTGAGTGAACAGCACAGGGGTGAGTGAACAGCACAGAGGTGAGTGAACAGCACAGGGGTGAGTGAACAGCACAGAGGTGAGTGAACAGCACAGGGGTGAGTGAACAGCACAGGGGTGAGTGAACAGCACAGAGGTGAGTGAACAGCACAGAGGTGAGTGAACAGCACAGGGGTGAGTGAACAGCACAGAGGTGAGTGAACAGCACAGGAGTGAGTGAACAGCACAGAGGTGAGTGAACAGCACAGAGGTGAGTGAACAGCACAGTGGTGAGTGAACAGCACAGCGGTGATTGAACAGCACAGAGGTGAGTGAACAACACAGGGGTGAGTGAACAGCACAGAGGTGAGTGAACAGCACAGAGGTGAGTGAACAGCACAGGGGTGAGTGAACAGCACAGGGGTGAGTGAACAGCACAGAGGTGAGTGAACAGCACAGAGGTGAGTGAACAGCACAGAGGTGAGTGAACAGCACAGAGGTGAGTGAACAGCACAGAGGTGAGTGAACAGCACAGAGGTGAGTGAACAGCACAGAGGTGAGTGAACAGCACAGAGGTGAGTGAACAGCTCAGAGGTGAGTGAACAGCACAGAGGTGAGTGAACAGCACAGAGGTGAGTGAACAGCTCAGAGGCACACAAGGATAAGCATGATCTGAGGAGGATGATGCTGGAAAGAGTATAAGTGATCAAAGGAATCTGGCCGATGTTGAGCACTCAAGGAAAGGCAAGACCTAAATTAAGATGGGTCCTTGTGCCATTGGAATCAGAACTCTGTGCTTGCTGCTGAAGATAAAGATGCAGTGCTTATGAGAATGTTCTGAGTGCTGGGATGTTTGTTTTTAATTCAACATTCACCCTGTTTCTAGGATGACCGTGGTGAAATGTAGGTCATTCTTGACTACTTTGAGCTATGGTCCTAGTGTACCGTCGCTGGTGGTGGCTCAGGTCTGCCTCCCAGAGTTTTACAGAAACCACCACATTTGATGTGATATATTTATTACACAATTTCAAGGTGGGTTTATCTAGTAGAATCTTGCATTCTTCCGACGAAATGTATTAATATATAACTTATCATCGTGTATTGTAGCCTTTGTAGAAGATTACTTTTATCACAGCAACTTATACTGCCAGCAGAAATGCAGTCTGGCCTGTTCCAACCACAATAAATGAAAAACTGTATACTACACAAGGGAACATGGACTGCACGATAGCTCTTGTAAAAACTACCGGCCTCCTGATGTAAGTTTTCTGACAAATGATTAAGGAAGAAGAAGAAGAAGAAGACAATCTATTTAAAGGACATTCAGTTCTTCAACAGTTTCCTCTGCTTTATTTTTATGCCCAGTGTGTTTTTTCAGTGAAATTGTTATGTAAATTTATGATTTTATCTCGAAAGAACTGCATTTTGTGTGATAAATTTACTTTTTTTTCCTTTGTCCTACAACATGTGCCTCAAAGTGTCACAGAGGGTAGTTAGATGTAGTTTCTGTCTTTTTATAGTTACGTAGCTTGAGTTAATGTCATATTGCATTTCTTTAGTGTCTTTTTTACTCTCTCCACCCATCTGTTTCCAGATCCGCCTCTGGAATTGTAGCCTGATGTTCTCATATAGTGCGTATTAGCTGCTGCTGATTGGTTCAATTTTGACCTGATGACCAAATCATTTGATTCTTTGACCTTCCCTGAATTCATTTACCAGTACTGTGCCTACTATTGTTCTCAGTTCTCCATTGGTGACTCCTTGTCTCTTCATGCTTTTTTTCCCCACCATGTTTCTTGAACAACTTACCTCGCATGTTGTAATTTTGTGTTTATATCTTTCTAGAACTGTCAGTTTCTGGCATTGTAGCACAAAGTTGGAACAATAGTGCATTTATCAGTTTCTCTTTAATGTGCTTGTTGATGTTTTGTTGCCTCAAAAGTGGGGCTATTTGATAATTTATGTTGTTGGCATTCTGTATTTTTTTTTTTTTTATTTCTGTGTCCAAACCTCCATTCTCAGTGAATACACTAGCTTGTTTTACTGTCTTTCCTTCAACAGTGATGATATGTTGAGCTTGTGTTCTATTTACTGTAATTATTTCTGGGTTTTTTCAGTCTATATTTACTACAGAACTTTGATATGAATTTGTCTAGAAACCACCATACTTTCCATTGATATAATTGTTATATAAAAATAATGTGCATTTATGTAGAACTTGCTTAGAAACAACCACATTCAAGTAAAATTTGTGATTATTAATAACTTTAATGTGAATTTCTTTGGAAACAAACCAATTTAAAGTGATAAATGTATTGCATACTTTAATGTGATGTTTTTTAATAAATGAATATGACTACCCATGTTTGAATTACTGTTGTAAAGGCACTTTTTGAAAGTGAATTAATCACAAAACAAACTACATGTATTTGTGCTACCAACATCCATAGCATGAAATTTATGTAAAAATTACTATATTTACAGAAATGACACTTTAAAAGTGAATTTATCCCAATAACATGTCAGGTAGATTCAAGTAACTAAGTCGGGCCCAGAAAGAGAGTGACTTACTTTGCCATTCATACCTGGTCATGTCACAGGGCCTGCCCTATGTTGTGAGGTGTGTAATTATAATGTTTAATATTGACCCATTGGTTCCATAAACATCGTTTTTTTTTTAAATTACCTTTTTCACAAAGCGTGTTTGAAAGGAACACATCCTTATAATTTCCTGAAACTCTAACCTAAGGAACTGGAGGAACAGAAGAAGAAGAATTTTGAAGTTTTGGTAATTTAAAAAAAATAGACATCCAGGGTTTCAAACATATGACCACTAAGCAGACAGACTACGAACTATCCACTGCAATATAATGGCTCCCAAGTCACTAAAAACAGTTTTTTTTTTAATTTAATTTTCCAGCAGTCCCCACGCCATCCCTCTAACTTAGCGTTTTTCAACTGTTTTCATGTGATACCCCCCAGTCCACTCAAATGTATGCAAAACTGACATTTATGGGGCCATAAGGTTAATTTATTTATTTAGTCTTTGTCACATTGACTTCACTGCACAGCTTTGTCTCATTGTGGAGACAACAAATCCCGTGATATATGGTCACATTATTTGAATTCACAATATTGAAAGTTTTAATTATTCATAAAATCTCGACACTGGTTTCAGCTGGATGGAAATACTGACAATTGTAAAATGTAAATCTATCAGGCTTAGAGGTCAGTGGAATTTATAATTTCTTGATACTCAATGTACAGGAGTTTGATTTCCATGGTAGACTGTTTTTTGTTGTTGTTTTTTTGTGTGTTTTTTTTAAATATGTATTGTTCTTGGTGCTTTCAGTCATTGGTGAACAAGTTGTCATGTG